TGTCTACCCTTGAATTCACCTCAGGAGCGAATGGTAAATATAGGAGTCTACTCAGCAAAACATAGAATAGAAAAGAAAGAGCAAGGGAACATAAAAACTAGAAAGCATAAAAGAAAATGAGAGGCCGGGCGCGATGGCTCACGCCTGTAATCCCAGCACTTTGGAAGGCCGAGGCGGGCGGATCACGAGGTCAGGAGGTCGAGACCATCCTGGCTAACACGGTGAAACCCCATCTCTACTAAAAAATACAAAAAACTAGCCAGGCGTGGTGGCGGGCCCCTGTAGTCCCAGCTACTCAGGAGGCTGAGGCAGGAGAATGGCGTGAACCAGGGAGGTGGAGCTTGCAGTGAGCCGAGATCGCGCCACTGCACTCCAGCCTGGTAGACAGTGCGAGACTCCGCCTCAAAAAAAAGAAAGAAAATGAGAGAAGCAAAAAACCATCATGAATATAAATGTAGATTAGTTCAACTTGCCTAGTAAAAGACAATGATTCTCAAACTGGCTCAAAAGTCAAATGAGACTGAATGCTTTCTCACCTTCAGTTAACTCACTCTTTATGGCTGGGTGCAGTTGGGCACACTTGTAATCCCAGCACTTTGGGAGGCTGGGGCAGATCACTTGAGCCCATGAGTTCGAGACCAGCCCTCCCTGGCACCATAGCAAGACCCTGTCTCTACAAAAATCAAAAGAAAATAATAAAACAAATAGTCAGGTGTGGTGGTACATGGTTGTAGTCCCAGCTCTCAGGAGACTAAGGCAGGAGGATCCCTTGAGCTCAGGCGTTTGAGGCTGTGATGAGCTATGATCATGTCACTGCTCCATCCTGGGCAACAGAACAAGACCTTATGTCTAAAAATTACAAACAAAACCCCCTAATTCTTTACCATAATATCTGGTCACCACACCCAATTTACCACGGCCACTCACTGCTTTCATCATGGTGACCAAGGTCATTTAGGTAGTCACTAAATCTAGTGGAATCTTTTCAACCCTTGTCTTTCTTAACCTCTTAGAAAATATTTCATGCTATTAGCCACACCTTTCCTCTTAACACAAGCTCTTCTCCTGGCTTCTTTTTTTTTTTTTTTTTTTTTGAGATGAAGTGTTGTTTTGTCACCCAGGCTAGAATGCAGTGGCGCAATCTTGACTCACTGCAACCTCCGCCTCCTGGGTTCAAGTGATTCTCCTGCCTCAGCCTCCCAAGTAGCTGGGACTATAGGTGCATGCCACCACACCTAACTAATTTTTGTATTTTTAGTAGAGATGGGGCTTCTTCATGTTGGCCAGGCTGGTCTCGAACTCCTGGCCTCAAGTAATTGGCCTGCCTCGGTCTCCCAAAGTGCTGGGATTACAGGTGTGAACCACTGTGCTCAGCCTTACTGGCTTCTTAAAGATGCATGTTCTCTGAATTTCTTTTCTCTGGAAAAGAAGCAATTGGAAAGAAGCCATTTACTCATCTAGACTTGGAGAGTCTTAAAAATCTTTTTCTTTTGCCCATCCCTTAAATGTTAGTGCTGCTCCTCAGGGTTCTCTCCTAGGTGCTTTTCTCTCTCCCTGTATATATGCTTTCTGGGAGCTCTCAACCATTCTCAAAGTTTCCATTATAACCCATATACTGATGAATCCCAAGTCTAGAATTCCAGCCCAGACCTCTCTCCTGGGCTCCAGATCTATATAGTCAAATGCATAATGGATATTTCCATTTAGGAGTTTTGTAGGAACCTCAAGCTCAGCATTACCCAGCTGAACTCATAATTTCTTCTATATGTTTCTGCCGTTACTAGTAAATGGCACCACCTGGTTTTCTAAAGTCAGAAACCAGAGAGCCAGCTTTGACTCCCCTCTCCCCTGCCACCCACGTCAAATGAATCAGCCTCTCCTAAATATATTTTTCCAGTCTATTTGCTTCTTTACATTCTCATTGCCAATACCCTCTTCTTGCCCACCACCCTTCCACGCCTGGGCTGTTGACTCACTTCCTAATGATCTCCCTACCTTTAATTATGCTAGGCTATAATCCAATGTCCATTGTGCTCCAGATATCTTCTATAGCAAAAAAATTTGGCCATGACCCTCCCATACTGAAAATTCTTCAGTGGCAAGGCCCTTTCTGAGCTGCCACTGAATTTCTTTCATCTTGAGTGTGCCTTGCTCTCTCTCACATTCAGATCTTTGAACATGCTGTTCTCCCTCCTTAAAATATTGTTCTGCTTTTCTTTTCTTAGCTTAACTCCTCTCATTTTCAGGTCTCAGATTAAATGTCACTTTCTCAGGTTAGGTTTCCTGGCCATGTGCTTCCTTATCACCTGTATTTCTTTTCTCTACCACCCATCATAAAAGTATTGAAGTTTCATACTTAATTGTCTTTCCCTGTCAGACCACAAGGGCCATGTAGATGGGAACTGTGTCCATCTTTTTCATCACCATGTACCTTGGCACCTAGTGCTGTGCCTAGTAATCATTAAGTGCTCAATAAACAGTTACTGAATGCGGGCTGGGCGTGGTGGCTCATGGGTGTAGTCCCAGCACTTTGGGAGGCCAAGTTGGGCAGATGGCTTGAGCCCAGCCAGGAGTTCAAGACTGGCCTGGGGAACATGGCAAAAGCCCCTCTTTCAGAAATTTCTTTAACAAATTAACTGGGCATGGAGGTGAGTGCCTTTAGTCTCAGCTACTTGGGAGGCTCAAGAGGGAGGATTGCTTGAGCCCGGGAGGGGAAGGCTGCAGTGAGCCATGATTGTACCACTGCACTCCAGCCTAGGTGACAGTGAGACCCTGTATCAAAAAAAAAAAAAAAGTCATTAAATTCGTGGGCACATGCACACGCACACGAATGCACCCTTTTCACATTGCTCATAATGGCAAAAAAGAAAAAAGTCTGGAAAATGCTTAACTTTCCAACATGAGGGTATATATGGTAAGTGAAGTGTGATCCTTCATATGTTGAATTATCCATGCAGTCCAGTCATAGAAATATCATGAAAACAGATAGTTAATGACACATAGAAAGATGTTTCTCATCTATTGCTAGGAGAAAACAACAGTATTGTATATATAAATATATAAGTATAATTTCGTTCTATTTTTGCCCTTGTGTTTTTAATTTCCCTTAGAATTCTTCATCTTATCCATCTACCATTCGATTTATTTTGTTCTTTTTCTTCTCTGCTTGTTTTCTTCGTATGGCTGACTGCTCATGTTTTATGAAAGACATCTCTTCTTCCATTCTGTTGAAGATGTCAAACAATTTTCCAACATTTTCTTGTATCCTGCAGTAGTCTGCATTTTCAGGAATTATCCCCTTCCTCTTGCTCTTCAGGGAGGAAGAGATTTGTCCTTTCTCCTATTCAGTAGCATTTTGTCATGGGCTCAATTTTTTTTCTCTTTTTACTTACTTGGCATGAATGAAACAAAATTGTCCAGCTTGGCCCCTCACTCTCTGCTTGGGAGATAATAGCATCCTTTTCTTAGATCAACAGCTTGAGAGGAGGTTGGTGTGAATGGTTCCCAGTCAAACTCTGAGTTCTAGAAGACTCTAACACAGCTTTGCTTGCAGAGGTGGCATCTCCTTCGACACCTACTGCCTGGTTCTTTGATTCTGTGACCCCATATCGTGCATAACAACTTCAACTCCTTTTCCATTAAGAGGAGTCAGGGCTTCTAGGGGAAATGGCTGATTCCAGGTCTGGGTAGGAAATACACAAGATAAACCTGAATGTCTTTGAGTACCAGATAGTGAGGATTATTCATCAAAAGGACTCAGGAACCAACTTGAAGGGATTCCACTGGCCAATGATGGATAATTTGAGTGTCAGTGAGATAATTGCAATGGATTGAAACATGAAAGAATTAAGTCCATACATTCATCAGTATTCCCCTCTCAAAACAAAAACCCTAGTTAGGTTCTGTGGGAACATGTTAGAGGCCAACTCATTATTTTGAAAATTGATAGCTAAAGGTAAGAAATCAAGTGTTTACATCACCTTTCCTATGTGAACTTTATCACTGAGAAGCCATATACAGATTGTGGGGAAGTTTCTCCTTATAGAAGTATTACAGGTGATAAATGAAGAAGGAAGGATAGTGTTAGAACTGTTTTGCAACCCCTAACGTATAATGAATCTAGGCTTTGATCATCAAGAGCTACCATCATCACGAAAAAGAGACATAACTAGACATTAAGGGACTTCTAGTGGAAGAAAACAGCAGCATCTATGAAGTAGTCTTGCCAAAAATATCTGACAAACCTGATCAAGCCCCTAGATTCAACTCCCATTTTACAGGAAATTCAGAGGTAGAGGAACATGTTAAACATTTCACCACTAGCAATATGAGTATGCAGTCATCAAAATCCAGACTGTGGGAAACTCTATAGGACAAACAACTTTCTCTCTTTAACAAATAATTTGCCAGAAGAAAAAATGATTTTATATATATATATTTGAGAGAAATGGTAGAAGGGGAACGTATAGAGACTTAAAAGATCCTCGGGCATGGTGGCTCACACCTGTAATCCCAGCACTTTGGAAGGCCAAGGCAGCCAGATCTCTTGAGCCCAGGAGTTCAAGACCAGCCTGGGCAACATGGTGAAACTCCATCTCTACAAAAAATATTAAAAAGTAGCCAGGTGTGGTGATGCACACCTGTGGTCCCAGCTACCCAGGAGGCTGACGTCAGAGGATCTCCTGAGCCTGGGATGTTGAGGCTGCAGTGAGCAGAGATTGTGCAACACACTCCAGCCTGGGCAACAGAGAGAGACCCTTTAAAAAAAAAAAGATTCTCAATGTATGTGAACCTTATTTGGATTCTGGTTCAAGCAATTAAAAAGTATAGTTATTAAATGAGTGAAAAATTTGAGCACTGACTGGATTTTTTTTTTCCAAAATTAACCTTGTGCTAGCTCGTGTATTTTTTTTTTAATATTAAGAAATTTGGCTGGGTGCTGTGGCTCACACCTATAACCCCAGCACTTCGGGAGGCTGAGGCCGGTGGATCGCCTGAGCTCAGGAGTTGGAGACCAGTCTGGGAAACATGGTAAGACCCTGTCTCTATAAAAAATAAATAAAATAGAAAAAAGAGAAATTATGTTAACTGTTGGGGTGATAAAGGTATTGTGCAATGTAAAAAAATATTTTTAAAGATAACTGCAAGACTATTTACAGATGAAATGGTACAATGTTTGGAGCCTGTTTCAAATTGAATGGGGAGTGCTAAATGGATTATAAAAGAAACCAGATTGACGATGAGTTGATAATTATTGAACTGGGTGATGGGAGCACAGAGGTTCATTATACTATTTTGCTAATTTTGTATACCTGATGTTCTCTATAATAAAAAGTTTTAAAAATTGAATTTGTTTTAAAAATGCAATAAACCCCTAATACCTGACTCCCGATGAAACACTGCTTCTGTCCCTCTAGTACTATGGAATCCTGCTTACACTTCATGTCCTACAGTGGGTTCCCATTTGACCACAGTTTCGTTCTTCATTCAGCACTTCAATTGCCTTGAAAATCCTTTATATTTCCTGTGAAAGAAGTAATTAAGATATTATGTATTTACCTTGTAGAGTGATTCTTATGTACATTAGCATTTGAATAACACTTAGATAAACTAAAGGAAGATACAATACCTTGGAATAATTTTCCACTTGTTTTCCTGGCACCATTTTTTCTGTTTTCATTAGTAGTATTTTTTTGTAGAGACCGAGTCTCACTATGCTGTTCAGGCTGGTCCCAAACTCCTGGGCTCAAGGGATCCTCCTGTCTTGGCCTCCCAAAGTGCTGGGATTACAGGCATGAGCCACCATGCCAGGCCAACTTTTTCTTGATTCTCCTCTTACCTATTGGCCACTTCTTCACTGCTGGAGTGTCCCAGGGTTTAATCCTGGGAGTCCTAGATTTAAACTGATGGGTCCCAGATTTGTATCTTTAGCCCAGAATCAATCCATGACCTGTGGTCTCATTGATCTAACTGCTTACTTGATATGTCCAGTTGGGATTCTGACAGGCTCTCAAATTAACACATTTGAAGGAATTCCTAATTTCTGCACATTCCCCAATTTGCTCCTCCCTGAGTGTTTCTTTTTCCTATAAATGCTCTGTCGCTCAGGCTGGAGTGCAGTGGTGGGAACACAGCTCGCTGCAGCCTCAGCCTCCTGGGCTCAATCAATCCTGCCTCAGCCTCTTGAGTAGCTGGGACCACAGGTGTACGCTCCCATGGCTGCCTAATTTTTAATTTTTTTGTAGAGACAGGGTCTTACCATGTTGCCCAGGCTGGTTGTGAACTCCTGGGCTAAAGCAATATGCCTGCCTTGGCCTCCTGAAGTGCTGAGATTACCGGCTTGAACTACCGTGGTTGGCCTTGGCTTTGAATTTTTTCAGTAGTTTTCAACTAAGTTTGGGCAACTTGGTGAGATCCCATCTCTGAAAAAAAAAAAAAAAAAATCAGCTAGGCATGGTGGCATGCACTTGTGGTCCTAGCTACTAAGGAAGCTAAGGTGGGAGGATCACTCGAGCCCAGGAGGTTGAGACTGCAGTGAGCTGTGATTGTGCTGCTGCCCTCCAGCCTGGGTGACAGAGTAAGACCCTGTCTAAAAATCTCAAAAAACAAACAAACAAACAAAACCCACACACAAAACAACACTTTTCAAGTGGTCTCGTGGGCTTTCCTTGTTGCCTCCACTGACAGTCACTCAAACCTAGCAACCCAGGTGTGGTGGCTCACACCTATAATCCCAGCAATTTGGGAGGCTGAAGTGGGAGAATCACTTGAGACCAGGAGTTTGAGACCAGCCTGGAACACAGTGAGACCCTGTCCATAAAAAATAAGCTGGGCACAGTGGTGTGAGCCTGTAGGACCAGCTACTCAGGAGGCTGAGGCTACTTAGGGGCTGAAAATCCCTTTAGGTCAGGAGTTCAAGGCTGCAGTGAACTATGACTGTGCCGTGGCACTGCAGCCTCTGTGACAGAGGGAGATCCCATCTCTAAAACAAACAAACAAACAAAAAAAACCAAAACCACACTCCCTCCACCAAAAAAAAAAAAACACAAAAAACTAGCAACGAATGTGATCTTACATCAGATTACGTTGCTCCTCTTCTCCAAATCTGCCCATGTAGACTTTTACTCTATCTTAGAGTAAAATTCAAAGTCTTAAAATGATTTACAAAGCCCTTCAACTTATTGTGCAGTGAACCCCATTGCCCTCAACAACTAACCCTGTCACCATGTGCCTTGCTAGTCTCTGCTTCACTGACTTTCCTCAGCTCCACTGACTTTACTGCTGTTCCTTGAACATGCCAAGAACACTCCCACCCCAAGACCTCTATTTTCTTCACTCCTCTGCTCAAACGTCACCTTATAACCTCCCACCACCCACAACTACACTTACACCTACACACACACACACACACACACACTTCTCAGCGCTTCCCCTCCCATTTACCTTGCCTTATTTTGTTCTGTAACACTTATCCTCCACTATACTCTACATTTCTTATTTATTTATTATCTTTTTTCTCTACTGGAATGTAAAGTCCTTAAGAATGGGAAATTTGTTTTGTTCACTGCTGTATTCCCACTACCCAAAGTAGTGCTTGACATGTAGAGAGAGCCTCAAAATATTTATTGAATGGATAAATTGATGAAGAAAGTGATATGGTTTGGCTGTGTCCCCACCCAAATCTCATCTTGAATTGTAGCTTCCATAATCCCCATGTGTTGAGGGAGGGACCCAGTGGATAGTCAGTGAATCATGGGGGCAGGTTTTTCCCATGCTGTTCTTGTGATCGTGATAGTGAATAAGTCTCACAAGATCTGATGGTTTTATAAAGGATAGTTCACCTGCACACCCTGTCTTGCCTGCTGCCATGTAAGACATGCCTTTGCTCCTCCTGTATCTTCCACAATGATTGTGAGGCCTCCCCAGCCATGTGGAACTGTGAGTCTATTAAACCTCTGCTTCTTTATAAATTACCCAGTTTCAGGTATGTCTTTATTAGCAGCGTGAGAATAGACGAATACAGGAAGGAACAAGAAGAAAGCCTAAATGCAGATGGGTAGCTCCTAAATATCTAAGATACCCATTGAATCGCAGCAGTGGTGCGTGATGGGTGGGAAGTCTGGAAGTCTTCTTGCTCATCTGCAGGTTGAAGCTGCCATGTTGTGGTACTTCCTATGGGGAAGTCCACACTGCAAGGAACAAGGGATATTCACCCCAACTCTTGCACAACTGAATCTTACCAACAACCACCTGAGTGAGGGAGGAAGACGTGTCCTTCCTAGTTGAGCTTTGAGATGACTACAGCTTTTTAAGAAATTCATTTGGGAGACTCACCTACTCTGTGCCTGGATTCCTGTCCCCTGGAAACTGGAGATAATAAATGTATGTTTTTGTTGTTGTTTGTTTTTTTTTTAGATGGAGTCTCACTCTGTTGCCCAGGCTGGAGTGCAATGGCACAATCTCGGCTCACTGCAACCTCCGCCTCCTGGGTTCAAGCGATTCTCCTGCCTCAGCCTCCCGAGTAGCTGGGACCACAGGCATGCACCACCAAGCCTGGCTAATTTTGTATTTTTTTTTTTTTTTAAGTAGAGCCGGGGTTTCTCCTTGTTGGTCAGGCTGGTCTCAAACTCCTGACCTCAGGTGATCCACCAGCCTTGGCCTCCCAAAGTGCTGGGATTACAGGCGTGAGCCACCCCACCTGGCCTGTATGTTGTTTTAATCCACTAAGTTTTGGAGTAATTTGTTAGGTAGCAATACTTAATTAATACAGAGTTTGGTCTACTAACTGGACCGTAAGTTCCTTGCAAGCAGTAACTGTTTACTCAGCACTTGTCAGATGAATATGTTTTAAGTGTTTGAATGACTTAGAGTTTTCAATACTCTGCGTCTGCATGTATTTTAGGGGGAAGTTGAGAAAAGCTGCCTCAGGCGGCTGCTAACCAGATGCTACTTTAAATGTACTGTCTGTCTCTCAGCCTTGCCTCTCCGTCCCTAATCTATCATCCCACTGGATTGAACTTCCCAGGGGTTGTGATAATGTGGAACACTTTGAAGTTTCCTCAGTAAGTGATCACTTTCCACCCCATGTAGGATGTGGATTTCAGAGCTAGGGATATGCAGGGAGGGAATATCATCCCAATAACAATGGCCCCTTGATTAGAAATGTGAATGCTGCTCCTCTTAAAACATTGACTTGTAGTTAACAATCACGGTTATTGTTGGAAATCAAGCTGGTTGAATATTTCCCTCTTCAGTTAAGATGCATATCCCTAGAGGTATGATCCATAGGGAAACAATCTTCCTAGGCGAATTAATGCATGGATGGGACTTTTCTAGAGCCACCCACGAGGCTAGCATTCAGGTCTCCAGCATTTAATTCCTCATTTTGAATCTTGGCCAGGGATGGTGAGAAATATAAGAGACCGAACACATTAACTACTGGGTCCCAGCATCTGATCTTTCCATGTGCACACTGACACAGGCAACACCTACCCTGAGCCGAAGTGAATTCCTTTCATCAGAAAGCTGACTGAGCCTCAAAGTAAAAATTCCTTATTGTACCAGTCAGAGACTCGGGGAGAACTGCTCAGCTCTGCCCAGTCACGCAGTTAGTGCCAGCCTACAGGGGGAGCTAAAATTCACTGGGTGTAGCTTTCCCTTTTGTAACAAGGCCCCTCTAGGCGGGTGATGTGAGAGCCGAGGAGAAAGAGGACCAAGGCAGAATCTTGTCATCAAATCCCACATTCTAGATTCTAGAAAGGATTTCTACTCTTCGTGGGTGTGTTCTAGGGCCCCGGCGATGGGGAGAATGCAGCTGCTTGGCTTTTTTTAAACTCAAACTTGTATGCTTCTCCAGCAGATGATTGCTAATACTGCTAAGGCTGGACAAGCCTCGTTCTAATTTTTTGAGTTACCAACAAAATGTTTTTGCCAAGCTGCCTTCTTTGAGGAGGAGAGGGGCTTGATGATGCCTCACCCAGCTGGGCAGAGCGGGGTGCTATATGACTGGTAAAACTGGAATTGTCCAAGGA